CCAGGTCTCTGACCTCCTCCCTATAGGCTGTCTCATCGTTGTCGGTGATCAGGCCTACCACTGTTGTGTCGTCGGCAAACTTAATGATGGTGTTGGAGTCGTGCCTGGCCATGCAGTCATGGGTGAACAGAGAGTACAGGAGGGGACTGAGCACGCACCCCTGAGGGGCCCCCGTGTTGAGGATCAGTGTGGCAGATGTGTTGTTACCTACCCTTACCACCTGGGGGCGGCCCGTCAGGAAGTCCAGGATCCAGTTGCAGAGGGAGGTGTTTAGTCCCAGGATCCTTAGCTTAGTGATGAGCTTAGAGGGCACTATGGTGTTGAATGCTGAGCTGTAGTCAATGAATAGCATTCTCACGTAGGTGTTCCTCTTGTCCAGGTGGGAAAGGGCAGTGTGGAGTGCAATAGAGATTGCATCATCTGTGGATCTGTTGGGGCGGTATGCAAATTGGAGTGGGTCTAGGGTTTCTGGGATAATGCTGTTGATGTGAGCCATGACCAGCCTTTCAAAGCACTTCATGGCTACAGACGTGAGTGCTACGGGTCGATAGTCATTTAGGCAGGTTATCTTAGAGTCCTTGGGCACGGGGACTACGGTGGTCTGCTTGAAACATGTTGGTATAACAGACTCAGACTCATGTTGAAAATGTCAGTGAAGACACTTGCCAGTTGGTCAGCACATGCTCGGAGTACACGTCCTGGTAATCCGTCTGGCCCTGCGGCCTTGTGAATGTTGACCTGCTTAAAAGTCTTACTCACATCGGCTACGGAGAGCGTGATCACATAGTCATCCGGAACAGCTGGTGCTCTCATGCATGCTTCAGTGTTGCTTGCCTCGAAGCGAGCATAGAAGTGGTTTAGCTCGTTTGGTAGGCTTGTGTCACTGGGCAGCTCGCGGCTGTGCTTCCCTTTGTAGTCTGTAATAGTTTTCAAGCCCTGCCACATCCGACGAGCGTCAGAGCCAGTGTAGTACGATTCAATCTTAGCCCTGTATTGACTCTTTGCCTGTTTGATGGTTCGTCGGAGGGCATAGCGGGATTTCTTATAAGCGTCCGGGTTAGAGTCCCGTTCCTTGAAAGCGGCAGCTCTACCCTTTAGCTCAGTGCGGATGTTTCCTGTAATCCATGGCTTCTGGTTGGGGTATGTACGTACGGTCACTGTGGGGACGACATCATCGATGCACTTATTGATGAAGCCAGTGACTGATGTGGTGTACTCCTCAATGCTGTCTGAAGAATCCCGGAACATGTTCCAGTCTGTGCTAGCAAAACAGTCCTGTAGCTTAGCATCTGCGTCATCTGACCACTTTTTTATTAACAGAGTCACTGGTGCTTCCTGCTTTAGTTTTTGCTTATAAGCAGGAATCAGGAGGATAGAGTTATGGTCAGATTTGCCAAATGGAGGGCGAGGGAGAGCTTTGTATGCGTCTCTGTGTGTGGAGTAAAGGTGGGCTAGAGTTGTTTTTCCTCTGGTTGCACATTTAACATGCTGGTAGAAATTAGGTAGAACGGATTTAAGTTTCCCTGCATTAAAGTCCCCGGCCACTAGGAGCGCTGCATCTGGATGAGCGTTTTCCTGTTGATTTATGTCCTTGTACAACTCATTCAGTGCAATCTTAATGCCAGCATTGGTTTGTGGTGGTAAATAGACAGCTATGAAAAATATAGATGAAAACTCTCTTGGTAAATAGTGTGGTCTACAGCTTATCATAAGATACTCTACCTCAGGCGAGCAAAACCTCGAGACTTCCTTAGTATTTGATTTTGTGCACCAGCTGTTGTTTACAAATATACACAGACCGCCACCCCTTGTCTTACCGGAGTCAGCCGTTCTATCCTGCCGATGTAGCGTATAGCCCGCTAGCTGTATGTTATCATTGTCGTCGTTCAGCCACGACTCGGTGAAACATAGGATATTACAGTTTTTAATGTCCCGTTGGTAGGATAACCGTAATCTTAGGTCATCCAATTTGTTATCCAATGATTGAAGATTGGCTAATAGGATTGATGGAATAGGCAGTTTACTCGCTCGCCGTCGGATCCTTACAAGGCACCCCGATCTACGTCCACGATATCTCCGTCTCTTCCTCACGCGAATGACGGGGATTTGGGCCTTGTCGGGTGTCTGTATGATATCCTTTGCGGCCACCTCGTTGAAGAAAAAATCTTCGTCCAATACGAGGTGAGTAATCGCTGTCCTGATATCTAGAAGCTCTTTTTGGTTATAAGAGACGATGGCAGAAACTTTATGTACAAAATAAATTACAAATAACGCGGAAAAACACACATAATAGTACAAATGGTTAGAGGGCTGTAAAACAGAAACCATCTTCTCCGGCGCTGTTCAATGTACTCAATGTGTGTGGGTACAGGTTAGTCGAGGTAATTGAGGTAATATGTACATTTAGGTAGGAGTAAAGAGACTATGCATAGATAATAAACAGTGAGTAGCATTACTGTGAATGTATTAATAGGAAGGCAAATGAGGAATACTGATCAGGTGAAGGTGTCAATCAGGACTCAGGAGGCACATATTCAGATGTTTGTTACAACATAAAAATATCTGCATTTGTGTTGGAGGTAGTTTAATTATTCTAATATTTATCTGTTATCCATCTATCAATGCCAATCCAACTCTCTGTCCCTCCATGTTTTACCCATCTATATTTGTGTTTTTCTGTCTCTAGCATGCAACCTTCCACACAGTCAACAGCATCCACAGAGAACGCACACACACGCACTCACACACACACTCGCACATGCACACACACACAATGTACCACATGGCTGCAAGCTTGTCACACCACCAGCATCTTAGTCAAAAGAGGAAACAGAGGGCTGTGTGTGTGTGCCGCCGGGACACGGCGTGTGTGCGTATCTAATTGGGTGACAACTTACAAACATCACAATCTCAAATTAAAGACAGAATAGATAGAGGGAAGATTATGTTTTCAGCTTCTAAACCACTTTAGACCCACGCCCCAATCCCCTTTTCAATAATTCACTGGGCTATAATGAGGGTTGTGGATGTGAGCTGCCTTCCAGAGGAGGGGAAGGGTGTTAGTCTGCATTCAAGCCCTGGGCGCCAACCTGTGCATGGTTAATGAAGACCCACAGCCTCTCATGGTTCCCCTGGCACCATAGAGCTCTGCTTGGAGAATGAGCCCTGAGCAGAGTCAAGCTCGATTAAAAAGGCTGTCAGTGGTGTGTGGCTCTAAAGAAGGCTACCACTGTCACTACAGACCAACGTCAACACACACTTTACAGGAAGACAGGGACGGGGGAGACAGAGGGGATGATATTTGAGGAAGAGGAGAAAGGGTATTGGTGAGGAGAGAGGTGGAGGAAGAGAAGAAAATATTGGGAGAGGGTTTGGGGAGGGAGGGGTGATTGTCCTAGCTACCTCTTGGCTTCAACTTGTCATCTAGGGACCATAGTGCCCTGGGTACACCTCCAGTCATTCCCCAGGGTGAGGCTGCCATTGAGGCATGCAGGGAACCCCATTGGTATCTATCTCTGACTAGACTAGCTATGGGCTCCCAGTCAAATAAGAGAAAAGCCTTCAGAAGATCCCCAAAAGCTTAGTAAAGTAACTGTTCACCAATAAAAAATAAACTAAATCCAGCATACATAAATAGCATTTAATTGACAATATACAGAACAGATATATAGCAGTTTGTCTTTGTATTTTCTCTGTTCTAGCAAACATACAGTCATCTGCATCATTAAGGGGAATGTGTAGCGTAATCAATTATTTCGTAGAATGGGAGAGGGAGAGAAAGAGAAAATGAGAGAGAGAGAGAGAGAGAGAGAGAGAGGGAGAGTGAGTGAGGGAGAAAAAAGAGAGAGAGAAAGAGAGAGTGTGTGTGCAGGGTCTGCTGAGTGTGGCTCCCCTGACGGCTGTCGGACACGGTCGGCTCCCCCCCTCTCCCCATCGCTCCTCATACCTCGCCCTCTCTCCTTCACTCTGTGATGAGTCCAGTCGTCGGTCCAGCGTGTGGTCCGTCTAGAGCAGGATACGGTATTTGAGTGCGCGGGGGACCCTGTTGATGACCAGTCTGCCATCGTAGCTGAGAGAGGCAAAGAGCCATGGGTCTGCTGAGGACCACTCTACTGCGTACACACTGTCCTCATGCTCCTCAAAGGTAGAGATGATACTGTCCTGCAGGGGCTCCTTACTCCTAGACCACACATGCACGCACACACACATACAGATTCACACACACAAATTCACGCACACGCACACACACAAAGAAAGTGTGAATACGGAGTTGAATAGGAAGAGTTCTTATTTTTTTATTTTGAGGGGGTGGATCAGCTTAAATATTGCAGATAGATAGTAGCTTCCATCAACGTAATTGTCTGCATAATTTCCAATCCCCCATATACAGTGCATTCGGAAAGTATTCAGACCCCTTCACTATTTCCACAGTTCCTCTGTGGAGATGGGAGAAACTTCCAGAAGGACAACCATCTCTGCAGCACTCCACCAATCAGGCCTTTATGGTAGAGTGGCCAGATGGAGACTTTTGGCAAACACCGTTTGGCTCTTTTAAGGTACAAACTGCAAGAGGACAATGATGTAGTTATAACTAATGGTACAATGGACGTAACTACTACAGTGACAAGTGTTTGTACCCCTTTAAGTACAATTTGGTAACTTTTTTTCTGAGCGTGTGCATGCTATTCACAATGTGTAGTGACAGTTATTTGGCACAGAAATGGAACCATCACAAAATAGGGCATTGGCACAGAATAGGTGAAGTTCAAGACCAGAGAACTAGAATCAGAGTACCAACTCTAGATTCAACTGATCAAATTGAATATAGAGTAGTAACTGTTGCATTGAAAATCTGATGAAAGATTATGACAGTGGACAGTTATGGTTGAGATTGGTACAGTATGGCTATAAGAGGGGGACAGTTCTGGACAGATATGTCAGAAAATGGTCAGTGTTGACAGCTTTGACTGAGTGGACAGATATGTCATAAAGGTTTTGACTTAGTGTCCATACTTCTTGTCCTGGTGGTTATCCTCTTCGTCGCTGAGGTCATCGTCGTCCACCAGGTGACCGAAGGGCTCGGAGGAGATGGACACCATGTTGGACAGAATCACCCTGCTGTCACTGCTGCCGGTCAGCAGCAGCTGATCATGAGAGTGGTTGTAGCGCACGCTCCACACCCTGGGTGGTGGGCACACACACACACACACACAGAGAATCAGTGAATGGGTGTTTTTAATCCATCTATATATTCTCTCTTTCCTTTTGTCGCTTATCCCTTTGGCTCCTCAGTCCATGTACGTGTGTGGTAATTGAGATGGATCTGGGCTTTGTTTCTCTGCTGCTTAGTTTGTACTGCCGTGAGGTGTTGTGTAATTATGGTTAGCTAATAAAGGTAATGATTTTGAAAACCTACATGACGCTTTGAGAAAAGGTTCTCTTGGACGAGTGGGGGGGAACTAGAAGGGTTGGGGGGGGGCGGAGGGGGATCTTAGCAACTGAGAGCGTAAAATGAGCGATCGAGAAGAAGGAGGGACGTGAGCGAGAGGAGGAAGAGAGAGAGGAGATCGATAGAGAGAGATACGTCGTCAAGACAGAGGAAAGATAGCGACTGACGGAGATATTATCGAGATACTCTCTATAGCTCATAAATCTGGCCTCTCTCTCTCTCATCTCTCTCATCACTCGCTCTCTCTCTCTTTCTTCTCTCTCTCTCTCTCTCTCTCTGCTCTCTACTCTCTCTCTCTCTCTCATAGAGAATGCTTGGGGATAACTGGGCTGTTGACATAAAATCAGGCTCAGAGCACCCTTTCCCTGTGTTCGGGTAATCCTCTTCCCTCCTGAAAAAATTGTCCCTCAGAGCACTGCTCAGAAATCACACACTGGAGCCTACTATCAGAATGGGTTCACATCTACACTGTTCTGGATACATTTGGCCAGTCCACTGTATGCATGTACAGTATGTATGTGTGTGTGTGTTTTTTATTTATACAATTTTTTTGGGGGGGTGGGGGGGGGGGGGGGGGGGGGGGGGTGTAGGATGGATGTGTGTGTATACGGTAATGCAATGTACTTAACCATCTCAGAATGTATGATTGTAGCAGCAACAAACTTCTCCACAGCATGGTTTGGCTCTCAGACAGAGTCATTATCTATTCAGCTCACACCAGAGAGAGAAAGAGAGACAGAGCGTGTCTCTACACACACACACACACACACACACACACACACACACACACACACACACACACACATATACGCCTGAATACTGCAGTGCACTGTGTCCAGCTACTTACATAGCCCTGAGCACTGCAGCTCATCACAGAATAGCTACAGTAACCCGCACCGGAACACGGCAGTGCAATGTACTTAACCATCTCAGAATGTATGTTTGTAGCAGCAACAAACTTCTCGTCATAACAACACATACATTGTGACAGGGTCAGTATACAATAAGCTAAAAGCACACATACATCAGTGGAATATGACTGTTCAGCAAAATGATGCTAATTGGTAGGAATGTTGTTCATGTTCTGTTGGTTGTGTAAAGAGGGGGTTTGAGGCTATAATTGCAATGGTATACAGTGCCTTCGGAAAGTATTCAGACCCCTTGTATTTTTCCACATTTTGTTACATTACAGCCTTATTGTAAAATGGATAAAAAATACCCCATAATGACAAAGCGAAAACAGGTTTTTAGAAAGTTTTCCAAATGTATAAAAATAATAATTAAAAAAATACGTTTTTACTTAAGTATTCAGACCCTTTGCTATGAGACTCGAAATTGAGCTCAGGCGCATCCTGGTTCCATTGATCATCCTTGAGATGTTTCTACAACTTGATTGGAGTCCACCTGTGGTAAATTCAATTGATTGGACATGAGAAGGACCTTGGTCAGGGAGGTGACCAAAAACCCGATGGTCACTCTGACAGAGCTCTAGAGTTCCTCTGTGGAGATGGGAGAACCTTCCAGAAGGACAACCATCTCTGCAGTACTCCACCAATCAGGCCTGCATGGTAGAGTGGTCAGACGGAAGCCACTCCTCAGTAAAAGGCACATGACAGCCCACTTGGACTCTCAGACCATGATAAACAAGATTCTCTGGTCTGATGAAACCAAAATGGAACTCTTTGGCCTGAATGCCAAGCAGAAACCTGGAGGAAACCTGGAACCATCCCTATGGTGAAGCATGGTGGTGGCAGCATCATGCTGTACGGACTGGGAGACTAGTCAGGATCGAGGCAAAGATTAACAGAGAAAAGTACAGATGGATCCTTGATGAAAACCTGCTCCAGAGCGCTCAGGACCTCAGACTGGGGCAAAGTTTCACCTTCCAACAGGACAACGACCCTAAGCACACAGCCAAGACAAAGCAGGAGTGGCTTCGGGACAAGTCTCTGAATGTCCTTGAGTGGCCCAGCCAGAGCCTGGACTTGAACCCGATTTAACATCTCTGGAGAGACCTGAAAATAGCTGTGCAGCAACGCTCCCCATCCAACCTGACAGAGCTTGAGAGGATCTGCAGAGAAGAATGGGAGTAACTCCCCAAATACAGGTGTGCCAAGCTTGTAGTGTCATACCCAAGAAGAATCGATGCTGTAATTGCTTCAACAAAGTACTGAGTAAAGGGTCTGAATACTTATGTAAATGTGATATTTAAGTTATTTTATTTTTTAAATATAAATTCGCAAAAATGTCCAAAAACATGTTTTTGATTTGTCATTATGGGCTATTGTCTGTAGATGAATGAGGGAAAAAAACAATTTAATCAATTTTAGAATAAGGCTGTAACGTAATAAAGTGTGGAAAAAGTCAAGGGGTCTGAATACTTTCCAAAGACACTGTATATGCTGTGTGTGAGTGTATGTGCATGTCCTGTGTGTGTGTGTGTGTGTGTGTGTGTGTGTGTGTGTGTCTACAGTGTGTAACAGGTGCCCACCAGTGAGAGTGCTCCTCCAGGCTCTTGACTGGCTCGTTGATGTTTCTCACATCCCAAAATTTGACCTTGCAGTCGTCCCCACAGCTGGCCAGGTAGTACTGTTTGTTGGGATTGAAGTCCAGGTCTCGAACCAGCTGCCCATGAGCATTCTCTATACAGTAGATCTGACTGGGAAAGAGAGAGAAAGGGATGAGGGGGAGGAGAGAGGGAATGAGAGAGAGAGAGAGAGGAGAGAGAAGAGAGGAGAGAGAGAGGAGAGAGAGAGAGAGAGAGAGAGGAGAGAGAGAGAGAGAGAGAGAGAGAGAGAGATGAGGGTGAGGAGAAGGGTGAGAAAAGGGGAATGATGCGTAAGAGAGATAGAGAGAGTGAACACCACAGCAACCCTGATGACATAAATCAGGGAGAGAAGCCTGTAGTGGTACTGTACAGTAGGTGAAGGCAAGACTGTATTTCCTGTCCTATAAAAGCCTGATGTGTAATAAAGCCAGGAGTCATAACCACACACGGCCTTGGCTTCCTGATCCTGCTCCTCCCTGCTGGGGAGAGGTAAGTGCTAAGGCACGAAGAAAGAACTGAAAGAGCAGAGAGAGAGAGGAGAGACTTTTCTGCTTCAGATGCTGTTTATGTTGTAAACCTTCTCTCTTCTCTATTTCTCAACAGGACCCCGTACCCTTCCTCTCATCTCCTCTTCTGTCCTCTCCTCCCCTCCTCCAGTCCTGCCTACCTCTCATCCTCCCTCCACCCCTCCTCTAATTTTCCCTCCCTCTCCTGCTGTGATGACTGAAGAGGATCCAGGGCGGTCTATGGAACAGTGTTAGACCCAGTGTTCTCTGCTCCACCAGACACCATCTACCCTGCTGATCTCATTATGCAAATAACATGCTAATTAAAAATCTCATTAAAAGGGAGGGAAAATAAAATAACCTGAGGGGATTCAATGAGATCAGGATGACAGTCTGTATGGCTCTATGACTATATGGTTTGTAAGGTTCTGCCACTGGACCTCAGCAAACTGGATGAGACCAGACTGGGACTTCACAGAGGGACCAGACACTGGCAGCAGCTCCCTTCCTCTCACCAAAAGAAATGTCAACACTCTTTAATCTTGTGAATTTTAAAATGACTTGAGTGTGTGTGTGTGTGTGTGTGTGTGTGTGTGGAGTCACTTTGCTGTCGAGTGCACAATCTGCCCACCATTGACTGACTCGGCATGACCTCTGACCAGGGGTGTAACAGTGTGTATGTGTGTGTGTGTGTCTGTGTCGTAAACTCTGCCCTCCATGGAATAGGACGTGCGGGGGAAATGGAGCAGGAAATTGGGTTAGTTTCGGTGCTTCCAGAATGCGTCTGAGCACCCTGCTCCACTCCCTCTACCCAGCAAATATTAAATGGGGATCCTGAGCAAAGCCTGGCTGGAACCCTCCTGACAAAGTATTAAGGATTATATGCCTTCCTAGCCTAAGCCTGGGGACACAGTGAAACCAAATCGAAACTCATCCTCCCTTACGTCAGTGAGGGCCAGAACAGGCTATTACACACAGGCACAGGCCCACGAACGCACGCAAACACACACACGTACACACACACACACACACACACACTGTAAAGGGGTTACTATGAATTTGACAGTCATTTACAGGCAGCTTTGTGGCAAGTAAATTTCTGTATTTAATATTACAGTACACAGGGGCACAACTTTCACTGGGGATGGGGGGGTGTCATGTCACCCCCACATTCTGAAATTGCATTTATGTCACCCCGGTTTTGTCATTGCACTGTGATACAAAAAAGCAGCATCGGTGTGCGTTAGGACCATGCGGACGCCTCAGAGCAGAGTGGTCGGGTAGGCTGTTTGGCTGCGTCAGCTGGCTAGATTTAGGACTGCACGGACACCATCACAGAGCATTTGGACAGGCTGTGTGAAGGCAATGCTTCTGAAAGGCCTGCTTATAACTGGCAAGGGACAGTTGAACAGAGGCAGCTGCTGACGGTGTGTATGTGTTGCGCTCTTTCTCTGAGTTGTAAAAGCAAGCAGTGCAGATACTGGCTACTCTTTAGTTGACTGATGTTAGCTAATGTTTCATCCCCTCTCAACTGAGGTGAATGAATTTAGCCAGTTCAGCTCTAGCCTCTAGCTATCTGTCAGATAGTGCTATAATAATAGCCACCTCATATTGCTATCGAACAGCTGTTGTGTGTATGGAAATGTTGTTTTGTAACCTTTGTTTTGTCCCATTTCAACAGAAGGAAATTAATTTGGCTAGCTTTCGCCAGTTGATGTACCAGCGTGAGAGAGCTAGCCAAAAGTATTATTTTTGCCTCAATCACACTAGACCTGAATCAAACGAGATGAAAACCAGTGGCCAAACGATTGAAGACCGATATTCTGACGTTTTTGCAGCGCAATGTGAGCTTTCATTAGTCAGTATAGCAATGTAACGTTCTTGATCTGTCAGTTTCCCTAGCTAATTCCCTACTTTTCACACTGACACAGTAATAAACAGCTCTACAGGCTTCACTGTCATGTTGCACAGTCAGTTCACAACACTATGCCCATCATGTCTTAGCAGGATCAGTTGGTGACAGGTGTCCCAGCAGGGTCAGGCAGCCAGGGAAGACCAGTCTCTTACGGAGCAGAGGTGAATATAATAATGTGATCAGTATCAGTGAGTTAAACTATTCTCCTTACTGTTTTCAGTAGTTTCTAATAATTAAACATACAATATCACATGATTTTAAAGTATATACAGTGAAAAAAAGTATTTGATCCCCTGCTGATTTTGTACGTTTGCCCACTGACAAAGAAATGATCAGTCTATCATTTTAATGGTAGGTTTATTTGAACAGTGAGAGACAGAATAACAAAAAAATCCAGAAAAACGCATGTCAAAAATGTTATATATTGATTTGCATTTTAATGAGGGAAATAAGTATTTGACCCCTCTGCAAAACATGACTTAGTACTTGGTGGCAAAACCCTTGTTGGCAATCACAGAGGTCAGACGTTTCTTGTAGTTGGCCACCAGGTTTGCACACATCTCAGGATGGATTTTGTCCCACTCCTCTTTGCAGATCTTCTCCAAGTCATTAAGGTTTCGAGGCTGACGTTTGGCAACTCGAACCTTCAGCTCCCTCCACAGATTTTCTATGGGATTAAGGTCTGGAGACTGGCTAGGCCACTCCAGGACCTTAATGTGCTTCTTCTTGAGCCACTCCTTTGTTGCCTTGGCCGTGTGTTTTGGGTCATTGTCATGCTGGAATACCCATCCACGACCCATTTTCAATGCCCTGGCTGAGGGAAGGAGGTTCTCATCCAAAATTTGACGGTACATGACCCCGTCCATCGTCCCTTTGATGCGGTGAAGTTGTCCTGTCCCCTTAGCAGAAAAACACCCCCCAAAGCATAATGTTTCCACCTCCATGTTTGACGGTGGGGATGGTGTTCTTGGGGTCATAGGCAGCATTCCTCCTCCTCCAAAGATGGCAAGTTGAGTTGATGCCAAAGAGCTCTATTTTGGTCTCATCTGACCACAACAATTTCACCCAGTTCTCCTCTGAATCATTCAGATGTTCATTGGCAAACTTCAGTCGGGCATTACCTTTTATCTAGAATCTCCAGTTGATACCAGCTAGCCAGCTAACTAGCTACTTGCTATTAGCCACTGTTAGCGGTTTTCACCCAGAAAATCGGATTTTCTGCCGGAATAACTGAATCACTGGACATTAACACCGGATCGCAACTAGCTAGCCGCAACCGAATTGGATGTTGCTGTTTGGCTAATCACCACTGCCCCTGAAGCAAGCACCAGTTAGCCTTGAGCCAGGCCCATATCCCGGCTATCTACCTCTCTGTCTACCGGACGGGAGTAGCCAGCTAACTAGCTACTTGCCATTAGCCACCGCTAGCGGTTTCTCACCATTGTCCGTGGCCTGCACTACCTACCTACCAGCCAGCTTTAGCCTGGACTATTATCGCACTGACTGCCCAGTCTGCACTGTCTGCACAGCGCGTTATCAACCCAGAACATATCGGTTTTTTCTGCCGGAATCACTAATTCACTGGACCTTTAACACTGGATAATCGTAGCTAGATAGCTGCAATCAAATGGATGTTGTTGTTGGCTAATCAGCCTCGAGCTAGCCGCGAGCCAGGCCCTTCTCCCGGCTATCTACCTCTCTGTCAACCGGACGGGACCTCCTAGTGTTGACACGGAGCCCCGCCGATCCAACACGACTGGTCTGCCGACAAAATCGTCTGATGCGATTACAACAGGTTTCCCGTTACGACGTCGACCACGAAGATCCATCTGCTAGATCCCGGCCCGCTAGCACACGCTAGCCGTGGCCTCTTGCTCGCTAGTGTTATAGCAGCCCCCGGAACTACCTCCGAACTCTCCTATTGCTGTTCACCGGACCTTATGAGAACTCAGCTATACAGCTGATGCCTGCTGGACTGTTCCTTTATACGGTACCGCATCCTGTTTATGTTTAGCCTCAGCCCAAACTTTGTCGCCATTACCAGCTGTTGTCTTAGCTCTCTCGAATAACACCCTGTGATTACTTTATGCCTCTCTCCCATGTCAATATGCCTTGCTTATTGCTGTTTCGGTTATTTCTTATTGTACTATTTCACTGTAGAACCCCCAGCCCAGCTCAACCTGCCATAGATAGCTCCTTTGTCCCACCCCCCATACACGCGGAGACCGACTCAATCGGTGCCTCCAGTGATCCTATCTCTTTCATCGTTACCCAATGCTTAGGTTTACCTCCACTGTACTCATATCCTTCCATATCCTTTTCTGTACATAATGCCCTGAATCTATTCTACAACGCCCGGAAACCTGCCCCTTTTTTTCTCTGTACCCAACGCACTAGAAGACCAGTACTTAAAGCCTTTAGCCGTATCCTTATTCTACTCCGCCTCTGTTCCTCTGGTGATGTAGAGGTTAACGCAGGCCCTGTAGCCCCCAGTATCACTCCTACTCCCCAGGCGTTATCATTTGTTGACTTCTGTAACCGTAAAAGCATTGGTTTCTTGCATGTTAACCTCCGAAGCCTCCTCCCTAAGTTTGAGTTATTCACTGCGTTAGCACACTCCGCCAACCCTGATGTCCTAGCAGTGTCTGAATCCAGGCCACCAAAAATTCAGAAATGTCCATCCCCAACTACAACATTTTCCGTCTCGATAGAACTGCCAAAAGGGGTGGGGTTGCAATCTACTGTAGAGATAGCCTGCAGAGCTCTATCGTACTATCCAGGTCTGTGCCCAAACAGTTTGAGCTTCTACTTCTAAAGATCCACCTTTCCAGAAATAAGTCTCTCACTGTTGCCGCTTGCTACAGACCCCCCTCAGCCCTGAGCTGTGCCCTGGACACCATATGTGAACTGATTGCCCCCCATCTATCCTCTTGCAAAAAATGCAGATTCTGCATTTGTGCACTCTGGATTCCGAAACTGGAAAAAGTTTTCACATGCATGCAGCCATGCACACAAGGTTGCCCTTACCACTCACTGTCACCAATCATAGCCAGTGGCTACCCAACTTTCTAAAGTAAGAGCTGTAAAGCAGAATGAAGCAAGGTCTTGCCTTAGGAAAGTAGTGGGTTCTGTCCATCTTCTAGCACGTCAGGGATCAGCTCTCAGGGGCTATGAAGCTATCGAAGGTAATCTGTACCAGTTACT